ACGGTGTAGACTTGTTGAGAAATTTTTGTGTAAATCACGGTGTATACATGTTGAGAGAGTGGTGTGTAGATCGCTGTGTATACATTTTGAGAGAGTGCCGTGTGGATCACGAAGTATTCATGTTGAGAGAGTGGAGTGTAGATCACGGTGTATACATGTTGGGAGAGTCGTGTGTGGTTCACGGTGTATACATGTTGAGTGAGTGGTGTTCGGATCACGGTGTATACATGTTGAAAGAGTGGAGTGGAGATCACGTTGTATACATCCTGAGAGAGCTATGTGTAGATCACTGTGTATACATGTTGAGGGAGTGGTGTGTAGATCTCTGTGTATACATGTTGAGAGAGTGGTGTGTAGATCGCGGTGTATACATTTTGAGAGAGTTGTGTGTAGATCACTGTGTATACATGTTGAGAAAGTGGTTTGTAGATCACGGCGTATACATGTTGAGAGAGTGGTGTGTATATCACGGTGTTACATGTTGAGAGTGTGTGTAGTTCACGGTGTATACATGTTGAGTAGAGTGGTGTATATCACGGTGTTACATGTTGAAGAGTGGGTGGAGATCACGTGTATACATGTTGAGATGAGTGTGTAGATCACGTGTATACATGTTGAGAGAGTGGTGTGTATATCACGGTGTGTACATGTTGAGAGAGTGGTGTGTAGATCACGGTGTATACATGTTGAGAGAGTGGTGTGTAGATCACGGTGTATACATGTTGAGAGAGTGGTGTGTATATCACGGTGTGTACATGTTGAGAGTGGTGTGTAGATCACGGTGTATACATGTTGAGAGAGTGGTGTGTAGATCACGGTGTATACATGTTGAGAGAGTGGTGTGTATATCACGGTGTGTACATGTTGAGAGTGGTGTGTAGATCACGGTGTATACATGTTGAGAGAGTGGTGTGTATATCACGGTGTGTACATGTTGAGAGTGGTGTGTAGATCACGGTGTATACATGTTGAGAGAGTGGTGTGTATATCACGGTGTGTACATGTTGAGAGAGTGGTGTGTAGATCACGGTGTATACATGTTGAGAGTGGTGTGTAGATCACGGTGTATACATGTTGAGAGTGGTGTGTAGATCACGGTGTATACATGTTGAGAGTGGTGTGTAATCACGGTGTTAATGTTGAGAGTGGTGTGTAGATCACGGTGTATACATGTTGAGAGAGTGGTGTGTAGATCACGGTGTATACATGTTGAGAGAGTGGTGTGTAGATCACGGTGTATACATGTTGAGAGAGTGGTGTGTAGATCACGGTGTATACATGCTGGGAAAATATGTTTTGATTCCTGTTTCAGGGACTGTAATATCCTGGACCGGTGGAAACATCTTACTTGTTGAAGATTTAGATACACGTGCAACATATATGTATTTTTCTTTGTCGACGTTTCGCCATCCAGTGACTTTATCAGTATAAATTCAAAGATATAATGGAAAGATTGTAGACCTTTATACTAAAGAGGTTGTAATTAGTCCCTTCCACTTGGCGTTGGTGATGAGCAATATTGTGTTGAAGACCACGATACTGATCACCACCGCCAAGGCTGAGGGACTAATTACCTCGTCTTTTATATATAGTTCTACAGACTTTCCTTCATGTCTTTGAACTTGTATTGATAAAGCCACTGGATGGCGAAACGTCTACAAATGAAGAGACCAAGATGTTACACGTTTGTCTAGTCCTTCATCTTGTCGGTATTGTATGCCATTCATGGACATGTTACCTGTTGCCTTAACGACCTTTTGTCCAGTTGAGGCTTTAACTTCAATTAAGCAACCAGCCATAAAAGTATATGATAGGTGGAGTTATTAGCCTTTTTTTTTCCTCTCTTATTGGATTTACTTAACTTCTGCAGCTTCATTATTTGGGCACTGTAGGCCTACTGATTTATTATATAATTCCTTATAATGCTAGTACCCTACTGTTTTTTTTATATTAACTAACATAACTAATATGTCATAGGGCCATAAATTACCTGACAATCTTAAGTCAGGACATTAATAATCGAAATCATTTACAGAGTTGTTAATATTTATCTTAACATGGCATTGTAATAGATGGGCAATCTTATCCCATTAATAAATGTATTAATATTGACATTAGATGCCATAAAACAAATGAGGACATTTGGAATCTTATGCAGACACGTAATCGTCGGTACACAGCAGGCTTTTCAGTTCCATGGGACGAATGTATAAAATATTGATACAGTGGATGAAAAGAGAACTAATGTAGTATTGCGATCTTTATTCAGTGACAACTATTTCGCCATAAAATGGGCTTTATTGAAGTACAAAAGAGGCAGCATGCTATTGGACTTATAAACCCCACTAAGTGGGCTGAAACGTTGCATAAAGATCACATTAGTCGCAACTGTGTTTTTGCTTCAGTTGAATACAAATAAGACAAACGAATGTGTTGGAAAATGAACAGATGAGTGAATCACCAGTCCATCACCCTCGAAGTAGTTTTGAGGAGGTCAGTCCCTCAGCCTGGAGAAGAATTCATTTCCATAGTCTGGAAAAATGTGAAGTTGAAGCATCAAAATGGAGACTAAACTTGAAGACTAAGCTTTAAGACTAAACTTGAAGGAACTTGCATATTGGCAGCAAAGAGTTCGGCAAAGAGATTGGCTTTTTCCTGACTGCTAGTAGAGGTGGTCCCATCCTGTCGATTTAGAGGTGGAATACGCTAATCAAGCAAATAACCTTGTCTGTTCTTGACCAATACTGCCTCTCAACTCCTACATTCTTGCATCTACTAATGGGCGCCGCCTTTCTATCGTCTTCACGACTTTCTGCACCTCACCTTCGGCAGTCTTCATTCTCTTGCTTCAGCTTCACATTGTTCCAGACAATGGGAACCGAATTCTTCTCCATACTTAGGGACTGACCACCTCAACACTATTTTTTCGAGGGTAATGGACTGAGGACATCATTTGTACATCTCCACTGTTTCTGCTGTATGCGACCCAAGAAACCAACTGTGTAGATGTAACGTCGCCACAATAAACATGCCAAACTGATTCACATCTGTCTTTCTCATTAACTTTATTCCTCCTGTTTATTGAGGCTCTGGTTTTTCTGTTATGCATTTTGTAAGTAATTGTGGAATGGTTTCAATTAATTAACCAAAATTTATAACCCTAACTTTTAAATCTCTCGTTTTAAGAGTGAAGAACTACACACTGATGGCCTCACAAACCTATAGAGATCTCCTTCGTGGTGGAGAACCGGGGTGAGACAGCCTACAACACTCTCTTTATGGTACGTGAACATCCTTTATTTTCTCCCTGTGGATTAAATGGCGTATTACCGGTAAATAATAAGCTTTAATTGTGAAGTACAACTAATTTACCTGCCAAATTTTAGTACTGCAGTGAACTATCCCTCATTACGTGTATTGTTAGCCCTTTTATGGATTTTTTTTTTAAATTCTACTTTTAGTTATTGGCATACCTCATCTCTGGTTTTTTTTAAGTCTTTCCTCTCTGGCGCACCAGACTCTTATTGTCTTCCAAACATTCCTTGTGCTCTTAACTACTTTTTTTCATCTGTCGAACTGAATGCTCATTCCGATCTAACTTTTCTGCTGGTGTTACTTAACTTAATTTTAATGCCAGAGAGTCGATGTGTGTGTGTGTCTGTGTACTCACCTATTTGTGATTGCAGGGGTCGAGTCTTAGCTCCTGGCCCCGCCTCTTCACTGATTGCTACTGGGTCCTCTCTCTCCCTGCTCCATGACTTTATCATACCTCGCCTTAAAACTATGTATGGTTCCCCGCCTCCACTACGTCACTTTCTAGGCTATTCCACGGCCTGAGAACTCTATGACTGAAGAAAAACTTCCTAACATCCCTTTGACTCATCTGAGTCTTCAACTTCAAATTGTGACCTCTTGTTTCTGTGTCCCCTCCCTGGAACATCCTGTCTTTGTCACCTTGTCTATTCCGCACAGTATTTTATATGTCGTTATCATGTCTCCCCGGACCCTCCTGTCCTCCAGTGTCGTCATGGCCGATTTCCCTTAATCTTTCTTCATAGGACATTCCCCTTAGCTCTGGAACTAACCTTGTCGCAAACCTTTGAACTTTCTCTAATTTCTTGACGTGCTTGATCAAGTGCGGGTTCCAAACAGGTGCTGTACACTCCAGTATGGGCCTGACGTACACGGTGTACAATGTCTTGAACGATTCCTTACTAAGGTATCGGAACGCTTTTCTCAGGTTTGCCAGGTGCTCATATGCTGCAGCAGTTATCTGGTAGTTGCCCAGTTTCCAAGGATGTGTTGAAGATGTGGTAAGTGGCACACACAGCATATCCTCTCCCTCTCTAAGGACCCACGAGGAGATGTCCGGTCCCATTGCCTTTGAGGTATCTATGTCCCTTAGCAGCTTCTTCACCTCCTCCTCATTTGTATGTATGTCATCCAACACTTGTTGGTATATTCCTTGCTGGTGTCTACCTCTGTTCTGTCCCCCCAGAGGCCTTCCTGTCTCCACTGTATATACTTCCTTAAATCTCATGTTGAGCTCCTCACATACCTCTTGATCGTTTCTTGTGAGTTCCCCAGCGTCTTTCCTCAGCCTTATCACCTGGTCTTTGACTGTTGTCTTCCTCCTAATGTGGCTATACAGCAGTTTCGGGCCAGACTTGACTTTCGATGCTATGTCGTTCTCGTACTGTCGCTGGGCCTCCCTCCTTATCTGTGCATACTCGTTTCTGGCTCTTCTACTAATCTCCTTATTTTCCTGGGTCCTTTGCCTCCTGTACCTTTTCCATTCTCTGGTGCACTTACTTTTGCCTCTCTTACACCTTCGGGTAAACCAAGGACTCGCTTTGGTCTTCCTATTATTTCTGTTTCCCATGGGAACAAACCTTTCCTCTGCCTCCTTGCACTTTGTTGTTACATATTCCATCATCTCGTTTACTGATTTTCCTACCAATTCTCTGTCCCACTGAACCTCCTACAGGAAGTTCCTCATACCTGTGTAGTTCCCCCCTTTTATATTTTGACTTTTCCAATTCAATTCCTGTTACCTTCTCCACTTGTAGCTCTACTATATAATCAAAACTCAGAACCACGTGATCGCTAGCTCCAAGGGGCCTCTCGTAAGTGATGTCCCCAATGTCTGAGCTGCTCAGGGTGAACACAAGATCCAGTCTTGCTGGCTCATCCTCCCCTCTCTCTCTGGTAGTGTCCCTGACATGTTGATGCATGAGGTTTTCAAGTACCACATTCATCATCTTGGCTCTCCATGTTTCGGGACCCCCATGTGGCTCCAGGTTTTCCCAGTCAGTCTCCCTGTGGTTGAAATCGCCCATTACCAGTAACTTTGCTCTGGTCGAGTGAGCTCTTCTTGCCACCTCAGCCAGTGTGTCCACCATCACCCTATTGTTTTCTTCGTACTCCTCTCTTGGCCTCCTGCAGTTCTGTGGTGGGTTATACATCACTCCAATGACTACCTTATGTTCCCCAGACTGAATTTTACCTACTATGTAATCCATTTCTCCAATCTCGTCCATGCCTTCCATTTCCTCAAATCCCCATCGATTTTTTATGAGCAGTGCAACCACTCCTCTCCCCCCCCTCCTCTATTCCTTATATCTTTCTTCAGGATATGATATCCGGGTGATATCCCGGTGTGTGTGTGTGTGTAAAACGACTCTCGAAATTCGTCGAAGGTATATCAAAAGTGCGCGCGCGAGTGCCGACACCAGTAAACGCCTCATCTCATAAACAAGAGTCTGGTTACTACCATTCCCGAATGAATACACCAACAACACACCCAAATGCGCAAAAAAAAAAAAAATCCATATAACGTAGTCATGCCCAATTTCAAAGATACATTCACTGCAACAAACAGATAAATATAAGTCGTGTTGTACACTAAAATAATACAATTTCAGATTGACAGTTTTGGTGATCTACTTCTGTCTGAGTCAACGAGTAACATTGTGTGTCAGATCGTGCTGGCCAACATACACTGTAATATAGACTCCATCTTCACCAATAACTCTAAAGTAAGTTCCATTATTCTCTCAGCATATTTTTCAACTTGTTATAGTAGTTTCATTCAAGATAAGTAATTCATATGCAATAATAATAAAATAATAATAATAATAATAATAATAATAAATAATAATAATAATAAAATAATAATAATAATATAATAATAATAATAGTAATAATAATAATAATTATTTATTATTATTATTTTTATTATTATATTATTATTATTATTATTATTATTATTATTATATTATTATTATTAATTATTATTATTATTATTATGTGTTTGAGTCTAATCAATATATATTAAACGGAGTAGGTAGTAGGTTGGTAGACAGCAACCACCCAGGGAAGTACTACCGTCCTGCCATGATGACTGTGAAACAGAAACCTGTAACTGTTTTGATGATGGTAGGATTGCTGGTTTCTTTTTTCTGTCTCATAAACACGCTAGATAACAGGGATATCTTGCTACTCCTACTTACACTTTGGTCAACACTTCACAGACACGCACATGCATATATATATATATATATATATATTATATATATATATATATAATATATATATATATATATATATATATAATATTATATATATATACATACATCTAGGTTTTTCTCCTTTTTCTAAATAGCTCTTGTTCTTCTTTATTTCTTCTATTGTCCATGGGGAAGTGGAAAAGAATCTTTCCTCCGTAAGCCATGTGTTCGTATGAGGCGACTAAAATGCCGGGAGCAATGGGCTAGTAACCCCTTCTCCTGTAGACATTTACTAAAAAAGAGAAGAAGAAAAACTTTATAAAACTGGATGCTTAAATGTGCGTGGATGTAGTGCGGATAACAAGAAACAGATGATTGCTGATGTTATGAATGAAAAGAAGTTGGATGTCCTGGCCCTAAGCGAAACAAAGCTGAAGGGGGTAGGGGAGTTTCGGTGGGGGGGAAATAAATGGGATTAAATCTGGAGTATCTGAGAGAGTTAGAGCAAAGGAAGGGGTAGCAGTAATGTTTGAATGATCAGTTATGGAAGGAGAAAAGAGAATATGAATATGTAAATGCAAGAATTATGTGGATTAAAGTAAAGTTGGATGCGAGAAGTGGGTCATAATAACGTGTATGCACCTGGAGAAGAGAGGAATGCAGAGAGAGAGAGAGATTTTGGGAGATGTTAAGTGAATGTATAGGAGCCTTTGAAGCAAGTGAGAGAGTAATTGTGGTAGGGGACCTGAATGCTAAAGTAGGAGAAACTTTTAGAGAGGGTGTGGTAGGTAAGTTTGGGGTGCCAGGTGTAAATGAAATGGGGAGCCCTTTGATTGAACTTTGTATAGAAAGGGGTTTAGTTATAGGTAATACATATTTTAAGAAAAAGAAGATAAGTATACAAGATATGATGTAGGGCGAAATGACAGTAGTTTGTTGGATTATGTATTGGTAGATAAAAGACTGTTGAGTAGACTTCAGGATGTACATGTTTATAGAGGGGCCACAGATATATCAGATCACTTTATAGTTGTAGCTACACTGAGAGTAAAAGGTAGATGGGATGCAAGGAGAATAGAAGCATCAGAGAAGAGAGAGGTGAAGGTTTATAAACTAAAAGAGGAGACAGTTAGGGTAAGATATAAACAGCTATTTGAGGATAGATGGGCTAATGAGAGCATAGACAATGGGGTCGAAGAGGTATGTGGTAGGTTTAAAAATGTAGTGTTAGAGTGTTCAGCAGAAGTTTGTGGTTGCAGGAAAGTGGGTGCGGGAGGGAAGAGGAGCGATTGGTGGAATGATGATGTGAAGAGGGATGTTGATGTAAGGGAGAAAAAGTTAGCATATGAGAAGTTTTTACGAAGTAGAAGTGATGCAAGGAGGGAAGAGTATATGGAGAAAAAGAGAGAGGTTAAGAGAGTGGTGAAGCAATGTAAAAAGAGAGCAAATGAGAGAGTGGGTGAGATGTTATCAACAAATTTTGTTGAAAATAAGAAAAAGTTTTGGAGTGATTATAACAAGTTAAGAAAGCCTAGAGAACAAATGGATTTGTCAGTTAAAAATAGGAGAGGAGAGTTATTAAATGGAGAGTTAGAGGTATTGGAAGATGGAGGGAATATTTTGAGGAATTGTTAAATGTTTGATGAAGATAGGGAAGCTGTGATTTCGTGTATAGGGCAAGGAGGAACAACATCTGTAGGAGTGAGGAAGAGCCAGTTGTGAGTGTGGGGGAAGTTCGTGAGGCAGTAGGTAAAATGAAAGGGGGTAAGGCAGTCGGGATTGATGGGATAAAGATAGAAATGGTTAAAAGCAGGTGGGGATATAGTTTTTGGAGTGGTTGGTGCAATTATTTAATAAATGTATGGAAGAGGGTAAGGTACCTAGGGATTGGCAGAGAGCATGCATAGTTCCTTTGTATAAAGGCAAAGGGATAAAAGACAGTGCAAAATTATAGGGGGATAGTCTGTTGAGTATACCTGGCAAAGTGTATGGTAGAGTTATTATTGAAAGAATTAAGAGTAAAACGGAGAATAGGATAGCAGATGAACAAGGAGGCTTTAGGAAAGGTAGGGGGTGTGTGGACCAGGTGTTTACAGTGAAACATATAAGTGAACAGTATTTAGATAAGGCTAAAGAGGTCTTTGTGGCATTTATGGATTTGGAAAAGGCGTATGACAGGGTGGATAGGGGGCAATGTGGCAGATGTTGCAGGTGTATGGTGTAGAGGTAGGTTACTGAAAGCAGTGAAGAGTTTTTTACGAGGATAGTGAGGCTCAAGTTAGAGTATGTAGGAAGAGGGAAATTATTTCCCAGTAAAAGTAGGCCTTAGACAAGGATGTGTGATGTCACCGTGGTTGTTTAATATATTTATAGATGGGGTTGTAAGAGAAGTAAATGCGAGGGTCTTGGCAAGAGGCGTGAGTTAAAAGATAAAGAATCACACATAAAGTGGGAGTTGTCACAGTTGCTCTTTGCTGATGACACTGTGCTCTTGGGAGATTCTGAAGAAAAGTTGCAGAGATTGGTGGATGAATTTGGTAGGGTGTGCAAAAGAAGAAAATTGAAAGTGAATACAGGAAAGAGTAAGGTTTATGAGGATAACAAAAAGATTAGGTGATGAAAGATTGATATCAGATTGGAGGGAGAGAGTATGGAGGAGGTGAATGTATTCAGATATTTGGGAGTGGACATGTCAGCGGATGGGTCTATGAAAGATGAGGTGAATCATAGAATTGATGAGGGGAAAAGGGGAGTGGTGCACTTATGAGTCTGTGGAGACAAAGAACTTTGTCCTTGGAGGCAAAGAGGGGAATGTATGAGTGTATAGTTTTACCAACGCTCTTATATGGGTGTGAAGCATGGGTGATGAATGTTGCAGCGAGGAGAAGGCTGGAGGCAGTGGAGATGTCATGTCTGAGAGCAATGTGTGGTGTGAATATAATGCAGAGAATTCGTAGTTGGAAGTTAGGAGGAGGTGCGGGTTTACCAAACTGTGTCCAGAGGCTGAGGAAGGGTTGATGAGGTGGTTCGGACATGTGGAGAGATGAGGAAAAAAAAACGGGACGGGGGGGAGGGGGGGGGGAGTGGAAAGGGGGGGGGGGGGGGCGAAACAGAATCACTCAAGAGTGTATCAGTCTGTAGTTGAAGTAAGGCGGGGTAGGGGTCGGCCAAGGAAAGGTTAGGAGGGGTTAAAGGAGGTTTTGTGTGCGAGGGGCTTGGACTTCCAGCAGAATGCGTGAAGACGTGTTTGATAGGAGTGAATGGAGACAAATGGTTTTAAACTTGACGTGCTGTTGGATGTGGAGCAAAGTATCATTTATGAAGGGGTTTCAGGAAACTCGGCAGTCCTGACTTGAAAAATCTGAATGGGAATACAGTGGCCTGCACTCTGAAGGAGGGGTGTTAAGTTTGCAGTTTAAAAACTGTAGTGTAAAGCAGCCTTCTGGCAAGACAGTGATGGAGTGAACGATAGGTGAAGTTTTTCTTTTTTTTAGGGGCCCCTGCCTTGGTAGGGAACTAGGGTACCAGTGTGATAATAATAAAAAAAATAATAAATATACGGGAAAACACAAATAACAGTGAAATCAGACTAACCTGAATTAGCATAATTATAAATATCAACAGTAATACTGGAGTGCTACTGAGTCTGAGCGGCCAAACCAGTTGGTCACTGTGATGGTAACCATGTATAACCGAGTAACTATACTTTCCTTTTTTTTATGAATGGAAAGCCTTAACCCTCAATGGGCATTGAGCGTATGGATGTATTCCAGCTTTCAGTAGAAGATGGGTAACAGGTCCTTCGACCTCAATAAAAGTTGGCAACTTTGGCTTGATCAGTGCTAAGGGACAGACGTTCCTCATCTCACTGTCTCCACTGTGATCTCTATGTTTAAATTAAAAAAGAACATCAGCTTGCCTGGCGAAACGTCTTTATAATAACGATAAGCCAGGTATGCCCCAACATATATCTTCTTCTTAACTAGTTGGTCATATACCATGTTAACATAATGCACCTCCTATCATTGTAAATAACGAGACATATATGTTCGTAATGCAGTTGTTGAACTGCAAACTCTCGCTCATACCGTGAGTGTTATTAGTCCTCAAGCAATCTTTATACCATTGAATTGTAGACGAATGATTTTAAGAACCGACACGTTTTAAATTAACACATGTGCAACTCTTCTGGGTATCTTAATGAGAAACACGTTTTCTCGCCACACCGTGGCTTCATCAGTCCCATACTAATATCATAAGAAGATAGGAACACTGCAGCAGGCCTACTGGCCCTTGCGAGCAGGTCCAAGTCTTCTACCGGCTTTAAGCCAATGCACCCAAACCAGTCAGGTCAGGTCCACATTGACTTATAGGGAGAACAACGGCTACCGACCTTGATAGCACAAGCTATCAGGTCCAACCACACCCACCCCATATCCCCCTCAGTATTTATCCAACCTATTTTTTAAAGCTACACAACGTTCTGGCCTCTATCACTGTACTCGGGAGTTTGTTCCACTCATCCACAA